GAAATACAATGATAGGCGACGCGCCTCGTTTGGATTGTATATTTTGTTACTTTTAATTATCAGCTGCAATTTAAAAAAAAACTGTATTGTAATTGATTTCCGAAAAAGGAGTACCTTAAAATGAAGCAAAAAATGTTTTTGTGGTGCACCGCAGAGCTACCCCCCCGCCACCTTCATTACTACACTAATACTTTAATGGCCCGTAACCTATGCAATTCCACCTGGCCCGCCCCTGACTAGAAACCAATTTCGAAAGAAAATTCAAAGGGCTGTAACTTTTGAACTAGTAGCCCAATCTTGGTACTGTTTGAAATTATAGATTCTACAGGCCACGTTCTATAAGAAATTTTTTTTTCCGGGTCGATCTGAGACAATTTTTTTTTCGGGGCTCAAAAAAAGGCAGTGCCTTCCTTTTTTACCAAAAATTGACTGCACCAAAATTTCTCGGGAAAACACTTTTTTCTTATTAATTTTGGTGCGTAGAATCTAAAACAATTCGTACTTTTTCGATCGGACTTTTCAATCAAAAGTTATGGACTAGAAACCAATTTCGTAAGAAAATTCAAAGGGTTGTAACTTTTGAACTAGAAGCCCAAATCTGGGAACTGTTTGAAATTATGGATTCTACAGGCCACATTCTATAAGAAAAGTTTTTCCCGGGTCGATCTGAGACAATTTTTTTTTCGGGGCTCAAAAAAAGGCAGTGTATAACCTTCCTTTTTTACCAAAAAACGACTGCACCAAAATTTCTCGAGAAAACACTTTGTCTTATTAATTTTGGTGCGTAGAATCCAAAACAGTTCGTACTTTTTCGATCAGACTTCTCAATCAAAAGTTATGGGACTAGAAACGAATTTCGTAAGAAAATTCAAAGGGCTGTAACTTTTGAACTAGACGCCCAATCTTGGAACTGTTTGAAATTATGGATTCTACAGGCCACATTCTATAAGAAAATTTTTGTCCGGGTCGATCTGAGACAATTTTTTTTTCGGGGCTCAAAAAAAGGCAGTGTATTATAACCTTCCTTTTTTACAAAAAATCGACAACACCAAAATTTCTCGGGAAACACTTTTTCTTATTAATTTTTGTGCGTAGAATCCAAAACAAATCGTACTTTTTCGATCGGACGTCTCAATCAAAAGTTTTAATTATCAACTGCAATTTAAAAAAAACTGTATTGTAATTGATTTCCGAAAAAGGAGTATTAAAATGAAGCAAAAAAATGTTTTTGTGGTGCATCGCAGAGCTAGGTTTCCCGGTTAGAACCTCTTGGTTTGGTGCAGTGCTATAGCGCTTCCCACCGCCTACTTCTTCACAATAAAGTGGAGTACATGCTGGGGTGGAAGATGCTGTGAGGCCAATAGCGGCTGTGGGTAGGTGCTCATGGTTCCCTGTTTTTATGCAGTTGTTTGTTCATTTGACCACCATTATGACTGCGGCATATGTGAACATGGGTCTGATGCTTTTATATGAGCGCGAACCTTTTAGACAGCACGTCGGGGGCCGCCTTGCTGTGGTTGAGGTTTGCCTAGAGGAAGGCGATTTTGTCTCCGACTGACCCCCCTAGACACTTAGGCACCTTGGGCGGACGACTGGCGTGGGGGAAGTTTGTTTCGTTTGGACAATGCTGCTGGTTTTTGGGCTTCGGGGGCCTGGCGCTCCATTGGTTGCCTTCTCCAGCGGTCCCTTGGAAGTGGCGCAAACTAGCCTTAGACTTGCCAGATCCTTTGGGCTTGATTGTAACTGGTCCAAACCTGGCTCTTAGGCTCCAGGTATCTAGCGACGGTTAGCCCACTGTCATCGTTAGATGAACAAGGCCACCCTTCTGCTATCTCTGCCCGGATAGTAGGCGTTCACAATAGCCGCCTTAGGCATTTCTTTTTCATCGACAGCTCTAAGTGTCGCGCCGTCCCATGGCTTGGTACCACTCTTTTGAGTCAGTCTGCGGTGCGCAATTGCCCAGAAACCAGCGTAGTTTGAACGTAGAACCTAGGGATTGAGGACACACCGTTCCCCGTTCCAGGTTTCTAATGGTTTCAAGGATTCTCTCCTGAAGTGCTTTAAGCTCTTCTGTGGTGAGGTTCATTTTGGGTACTTGCCATGCAGTATCCTTACCTGTTGACCCTCTATGTCTATAGCCTGTTTATAGGATGGATTCACAGGGACCTGTGTGACCGTGGATATTATTTTATATCGGAAGTGATGTTCCCTTAAATACTGGAATCAACGTAAAAACGAGGTTACTGGCTGCCATTGCTATCCGTTAGTTTTAGCGAGGGTAAAAAGAGCGTGCATTTTTGTTTAGGTTAATTTCTCACACAGTTGGCCCTATTTGTTTAATTCAAGTAAGTTTTTAAAACGGTTTGTCCGTATTCCGAAAAAGTAAAGTTTCCTGAAACTGGCAGCGAGATTTTTTGTCTCTCAGGGATTTAAAAAAAATTGTTTCATATCTTTCGGAATAAATTTTTGTTGTTGCACTTCTTGTATGACAGTAACTCTCCGTCGGCCGGCCTACACTACCGCGAAGGGATGCAAATATATCTTTTATACAAGCTTATGTGCTAATTGCAAAACTGGCGTGTCCGTTCTCATACATCTTTTTGGTTTCCCTTGATTTTGCTTTACAACTTCTGTAATAAAAAGGTGACTTTGCCCCCTTTTTAATATGTTCGAAAAGTACAAGGGAATTACGAACTTTTTTTTTTGCTGTTTTTAAGAAGCTACGGTACGGTTTCCCAAATTCCCACGCGACGAAAAGCATCAGAATGAAAAAGAAACGCAAAACATTTTCAAAGCACTTCACTTTTCCGGTTTCTTAGTAACCGATGTAAATTTATATTTGCTCGCTGATTCCTGTTTTACTCATTTAAAGAACTTACTATCCTAGATTTATTTTATTAACGTCTGTCAGAAAGCTGGCTCGCTTTTATTTATCGAATTCGTTACGGAAAGGAGAAATGGAAATATAAAGTAAATGTGTTGGAGATGGGAGCTTTTTTTCTCTCTTTATTCGTTTTTTTACAAATGTATTTCATTGCTTGGTTACATAAATAGGCAATTAAATTATACCTTGCAGATGCACTACTTTCCTTTAAAAACCATATTAAGGTTGCTTTTTATTAATTATCTATATGAAAGCAGATCCCTTCAGTTTCGATCGATTGGACGTAGGCGGACTATTCCTTGTAGATCTTCTGAAGAGGCTCGTTTTTTTGTCATTTTCTACCCAATTAGGAAGGAAACGGTACAAAGCGTAAATAATTTATTTCTCTACGTAACTGCTATACATATGTAGGCTGTTTCACACAGCCATACCTAAAAGTTTTCAGGCTCTCATTGATACATTAATAGAATCACTAAAGTGCACCCATTTTATTTTATGCTGCTATATCTAAAAAAGTGTGCTCTCACTCATATGTAATGAAAACTAGTAGTGGCCGTTAAAAAATATGCCCCTCTTGACAATCCAGAAGTACGCCACTGACCACAGATTTAAAGTACATACGTAGATTGGTAGCAAAGTTTTTATAATTGTGGCTACCATAAAAAGCTTCTTTGCAAAAACTGTAGTTTTGAAGATATATTCAGTGTTCCAGACAAAATTTCCACCATGTATTTGCTGCCATGGATTTATAGAAATTTTGAAAATGTTTAGACAATTTTGGAAAGTATAGGTCATTTTGGAAATGTTTCAGAAATATTTTGGAGAATGTTGGAAATGTTGGAGAGTGTCGAATATAGATGGTGAAGGAATATAGAAAATGAAACAAGGTGAAAGAATTCTGAATTTAATAATAATTATTTATTTATTATTTTTGGACTTTTTAAATGGGCAGGGTTTCAGCCAAGGCTGCTCTACCGACCCAACCCACTATACATTTACAAAGATCCATGCCTGAACCCGGATGCGAACCAGGGACCCTTAGTACCGCAGTTGCCCTTTTACGCCCCTGCGCGACACACGCCGGTATTAATTTGTACTTGCAGAATGTGTTGTTTAGTCTCAAAACCAATGGCGTTTTACACTATAGTTGAATTCCGCAGTTCTAATTTAATAACCATTAAACATTTTTTTGTACAGTAAAAGTTTATTTAAAAATAGAGGCTGATTAGCAAAAAAAATAATGAACATGTGCGGTTTTAAAGGTTTATTCAAAACGATATGATTGTGGCGGGCTCTGTGACGTAATAAGCCCGACCAATCAGCTCCTAGAACCATTCAGATGACATAGCGACTTGGCAATATTGCAGGAGAATGGCATTTATAACTTGCGTCATCTGTCACAGGCACTTGTCACTTTCGTGCTAGATGCAGTTCCCTCTCAACTCAAAACGTCAAATGTGACAAACGTCAAACCCTCGCGTAAGGTTGCCAGCTCACTTCTACGTGATTGGTTGTAGGTTTGTGACGTATTTAGTCTGAAGCGTTTCAAATTCGGACTAAAAACACAGCTTTTCAATAATTTATTTTGGGTTTATTTTACTCGCAAATAAAAATTGAGGACACACGGGTCTTTTTATTTTTAATGTACTTTGTGGATCAGAAATAAAAAATGAAGGCGGGATGACCCCATTGTTGAAGTGGAAGTGCTAGCTTAAATTCAAGTTAGCACTTCTGCCATTCCAAATTAAGCTCTTGACAAGTGAACGTAACAGCTGGATGCAAATTAGCTGTGTGTTTTTGACATTTTTTTGGGTTGTACATTTTATTGCAGAAAAAACATGGGTTTAACCACTGAAAATTTGGAGTAATTTTAAAACATGTTGGGCTGCATAGACAAATTTTATTTTTTATTTTATTTTGCCTTTCTTTTTTCAAGTCCGTTTCCACTTCCTTATTATTTTGTTAAAATACGCACATCTGCGACCATCTGTTCACAAATTAATTAACGTTTAACGATAAGCGCAACTCTTTTGGCAGCGGCCGACTTATCTTAAAATTAAATAAACTTTTACAAACACCTAATATAATTCTAACAAATGTCCCATATAATTACAGTGCGGCCTTTAAACAAAAATTAACCGATAACCATCGTACGTTTACACAACAGTATATTATATGCCATTTGGAATGAGATTCTTTGTTCACACGAATTCTTTTGTTTCAGCTGAAGGTGATAAAGGCAGGAGCACTCTGGATACACTTCTGGCCACCACGTATTGTCGATCGCAGATACATCTTTCGGAGCAACTAGCTCACCTCCATCCTGAGCTTACAATGCCAATGTTTTCAGGTTAGTGGTGTTTGATCCTTCACCTAACATTTGGTATAACAACCGTGGCAATTACTTTCATTTTTACTGTGTTGAACTATCATGCGGAAATCAAAGCGAAAGTGTTCCCTTCCATTTCAGAAATCACTCATCGTTTTCAAACTGCAAGGCCCGAACTCCGTCAGCTACTGTTGCAGTACTTGCTGCCGTGGTTGCACAACATGGAGTTAGTTGACCCTAACGTTCCACCGGCTAATCCCCTTTTTTATTACCAGGTAATTACATTTGATATCTCTGTTTCTTTCTGGCAAACTCGCCTTGTCTTCAGTATCACGCCAACGATATGGGTCGGGCTGGAGGTCGAAGAGAAGGTTGGGGTTCTGCAGAAGCAACCGAAATGGTACTGAATAACATTTTTTACATTACTGCGAAGGTAACTCATCGCTTGTTGGGAAAGGTGGTAATTAAACAGTTTTAGTTCGGCGACAACCATCCGAAAGAAATGGAAGCAGTTTGGGCGACTTTGTGTACCTCGTGGCCGAACAACATGAAGGTTATAATTCGGTATTTAATTATCGTTTCTGGCATGGCGCCTTGCGAACTCCTTCCATATGTAAGTCCGCTCACGTCCAAAACCCTTCTAACCGCACTCATATAGGCAAAACGCGTCATCCTATACCTGGCTAGAGTACAACCCGGTCGTTTGCTGGACGAGATGATGATCGAGTTGCAAACAGTCGAAACCCTCAACTGTTTAATCGAGCGAACGGAAACGCCCCCATTTTATCGCCTGACCGTTATGAGAAAAGCGTCCAGCCATTCCGATGGTACCGGAGGCGTAGGCACCTCTGATTACAATAACCGAAATGATATCGGCGTGGAGAAGGGCACGATTCACACCAAACGTCACAGCGGCGAAGACCCGATGAAATCTTCGTCCCCCAAAACTGACTCGACAATCAAGGGCATGCCCGAATTCTCCTCCCCTAGGCTAGACAAAGTGCGCGTTATCGGGGGAGCGAATCTATCGGAAGATGTATCGACGCCAACGACAGAAACCGATGTAAGTGTGGTTTGTCGCGCTCTTTCAGTGTGTTCACAGGGATTTTACAGTTGTTTCAGTTGCAAGGGTGCGAGGATCTCTTCTCGCTTTCTCGCTCACTCAATGCCGGTGATAAATTTGACATTCCAGTACCCCAACCCCATCCGCTACCTATGCCGGAATATGGTGGATATTTTGCACCTTTGACTGAATATTTACCGGATAGTTCGCAACCAATATCTGGTTTCCATAGGTAAATTCAGTTCCACTAAGTGTGTATTTCGATTTTGGATGATTGTAGATGCAACGTGGCTGTGATGTTACTTTGTGATGTAGTTGTCGATGGTCTCGAACTAGACTGGACTATACACGTTCCTTTAATGTTACATATATTATTTTTGGGTCTGGATAACACCAGGCCGTTAGTGTACCAACACTGTAAACAACTTCTCTTAAACTTACTCATTGTTTTGGCACAACATAACGACCATTTAATAGTGGCGCATATTATTCTAAACAGCAAAACGAGTTTACTAGGGCTAGGTCTGCCGACCCCCGCATTGCCAGTTCCGCAAAATATTTTTACAGGTATGAGATTCCCAGTTCTGACAATCAATAACACAACATTTTAGAAACGAATCCTGCGTTCGATGTTTATCTTCAAGGGCCGGCTCCTAATACGTCTTCCTCAGAGTCAATTGCTACCAATAAAGATACAAGCAACATCGGTAAGTGACAAGTTGGGATCTTTTCCTGTAATTTTGGGGTTCTTTTGAAGATAAAAAAGAACCAAGTGCGCCCCCTGTAATAGTAACTTCAGAAGAATCGCCAGCGTGGAACGCCTCAGAAACTTGCCCAAATATCACCATAGCGGACGTGATAAAATCGCTCATCGACTTTTTGGCTACGCGCCAAAATCAACCGCTGTGGAACTACGAGGATATCACAGCGAAGGTGTGGTTGGTAAGGAGTGCCGATCAAATGGACATCTTCCTTCAGCACATCCTGCGTGTATTTCGAGAGTCGTTACCCAACGCCCACATAAACGAAAGGTGGGCACAAACTGCGCTGCAACTAGGACTCAGTTGTTCATCCAGGCACTACGCCGGCCGTTCGTTGCAAATCTATCGCTCGCTCCGAGTCCCAATATCATCCCGAATGCTCTCCGACATTCTCAGCCGGCTAGTCGAGACCGTCGCCGAACAAGGCGAAGATATGCAAGGCTACGTCACCGAGCTCCTTCTCACGCTCGAATCAGCAGTCGACTCCCTAGAATCCGATTTCCGCCCGTTCGACTTGAAGAAGGACATTTTTAAATCGACGCCCAATTTGAACAACAAGGAACCGTTGGGTAAACGCTACCCATACGGCAACATGATGGGAGCCGACGCAATTCCGCCGTTTTCGTACCTCAACCAGGTGGGACACATTCGCAGCACCAGCTACTCCGTATCGTACGTGCTGCGGAAAAATTCCGGGTCCCCCGCGACGGACAGCAAAGATTTGCGCAATCGCGGAAATTGCGAGATTGATAAAAATAAGTTCGGATCGAATTTGTCCCGGTCAAGATCGGCGCAGAGCTTGAAAATGCTGAGCGATTCGGCGACTCAAGATGACAAGCTCACGATTCTTGCGCAACTGTTCTGGCTGTCAGTCTCGCTGCTGGAGTCTGACTATGAGCACGAGTTTCTGTTGGCCTTAAGACTTTTGGCGCGCATTTTGCACCGGTTGCCCTTAGATCGACCGGATGCTAGGGATAAGGTGGAGAAATTGCAAACGCAACTGAGGTGGAGTTCTTTTCCGGGCGTGCACGCCTTGTTGCTAAAGGTAGGTACGTCACGTGGTGCTATCAACCCATGCGTTCTTTTAGGGGTGTACACATCCGAACATTTACGAACCTGTGGTCGCGTTACTGTCGCAATTTACCCCGCTACTTGACCTGGTCGTGGTGGATCCTTCGCAGAGTATCGCATTTCCGATGAACGTCATCGCCTTGCTTCCGTATATGTTGCTCAACTACGAAGACGCTAACGAGCTCTGCATTCGCAGCGCGGACAACATTGCTCAAGTGAGTACCTCCGGCAATTTCTCGGCGATTTTGACGATTGCGATATAGGTTAGCGTGGAAAAGAGCAAAAAGTTGGAAAATTTGAGTACGGTGATGAATTTGTACAGTCGAAGAACTTTCAGCAAGGAGAGTTTCCAGTGGACCAAATGCGTCGTGAAGTACCTCTACGATACTTACTCACACCTTAGTTTGAACATGTTGGCGTTTTTGATTGAGGTATTAGAAAAAGGCCCTTCAACGCTGCAGCTGCCAATTCTGAATATTGTGCACTGTATTTTGCACTACGTGGATCTTGCGTCTGCCGCCGCACAACCGATGAATGCAGATTTACTGCGAGTCATTGGGAAGTACATCGAAGGACCGAATTGGAAGGAAGCTCTGAAGATACTTAAGCTGGTGGTCACCAGATCGAGCACATTAGTTGCACCGCCCGCATCCGTTCAACACAGCTACTGGGAGGGCTCAATGACGTCAGTCCCTCATCCTTCTTTTACTGACACTGAAGTCTTTACGAAGAAGGAGCTGCCAGGTTGGACCATTCTAAATTGTTTTAGCACATTCACAATGGTCACTTACAGGACGGACAATGGAATTTACATTCGATCTCTCGCAAACGCCCGTGATTGGCCGTCGGCTGCTAGTTAAAAATGAGGACAGTGGAGTTGTCACTAAACCGGTCGCATCTCCTAGACGGTCCTGTTCATTAAGTCCTGCCGATACAGCCCCTCTATCTGGATGGAAGCGTCCGTGGATGTCACAGGTTTGACATATTCCAAAAATTCCCACTGAACTTGTGTGACCTGTTATAGGGACGTGTCCGGGAATGCCTAGTTAATCTTCTTACAGCATGTGGCCAACGCGTTGGTTTACCAAAGAGTCCATCAGTTAGTAAACTCCAGCGTAATTCCATAAGTTTATTTTAAAACCGTCTTGTTTAGGTTATATTCAGTCAAAGCTCCGACTTAATGGAAAGACAATCGAGCATGGCGTCAAGCACGGAAGAGGTATCTGTCGCCAACAACGACTTCAGCGGTGGTTCGCGCAGAGACGACACGACGACCGATTTCGGCGTATTTAAGGACTTCGACTTCTTAGAGTACGAAAGCGAAAGCATTGAGGTAAGCACTTGGAACTGCTCACTGTTTCGCCTAATGCGTTTACGCAGGGCGAGAGCACGGATAATTTCAATTGGGGTGTACGTCGACGGCCGCTAAGCGAAGGCGAGGAGGAACTGCCAAGTATCAAGCAGCACGATGAGAGTGTTAGTGAAAAAACGCCCATATTAACTGTTCGAAAGGTAAGAATTTTTCTTAATTCATAGATATTTTCCAACTCATGTTTTATGGCCACTTTCTCTGTCCGTCCGAGGCCTTACTTAACTACTACAGTTTTCAAGATATTTAGTTCGTTTTTGTTTTTTGCATTCGGTAGCTCTGGCACCTCAACCAGGAAAAATCTTGAGGATTAATGTGCGCATGCGCAATCCCAACTTTCTTATTTATAGAGATAATTTTTTAAAATTTTAACTAAAGAATCTTCTAGTAAAGACAAGCATATCGCATATTGTAAAAATTAATTGTGCGCATGCGCAATGTCATCTTTCTTGTTTATGGAGATATTTTTTTAAAATTTTAACCACAGATGCTTCTAGTAACGGCAAACATATCGCATATTGTAAACATCGGGTGACTCAGTGGCGTACGTAGAAATTTATTCTGGGGGGGGGGGGATTAAACAAGCTCGTGGCACATACAGTCACCCAGTGCGTACTAGAAGGGGGAGGGGGGGTTAGAAATAGAAATTGGGTTGCAGGTTGCTGATGCTGGTAGTCATTTATCTATTTATTATTGTACAGGCGAAAAAGATTAGATTAGAACGGTATTTTATTTCTTACTGCTGACAGGCCCCTTTATTGCTTTTGCTTTAATTAGTCAACGAAAACTTTGAATAATAGGTATATTTATGGGCAAAAAATCAATTTCGACAAAAAATTCAAAGGGCTGTAACTTTTGATCTAGTAGTCCGATCTTGGAACTGTTTGAAATTATGGATTCGACAGGCCACATTCTTTAAGAAAATATTTTTTTCCGGTCGATCTGAGACAATTTTTTTTCCTGGGCAAAAAAAAGGGAGTGTTACCTTCCTTTTTTCCAAAAAATCGACTGCACCAAAATTTCTCGGGAAAAAACTTTTTCTGATTAATTTGGGTGCGTAGAATCCAAAACGATTCGTACTTTTTCGATTAGACGTCTCAATCAAAAGTTATGGGCAAAAAAATTCCTGTTTTTAAAATTTAAAATTCTTATTTTCGTCATTTCGTGAAAGGCAGGACGCAGGTACCTCACCTCAGTAGCAGTACTATAAGTACCTGATACCTATTTGTTATTTTGGGCATCAATGTAGCGAATTGTCAATCGATGCCGAATAGCCAAACGTTGACTGCCAACACTGATCACTCACTGAATAGTGAATACTGAATACTACAGAATATTTAGATTTTAGTGACTTTAGACTTTAACCAAAACCAAAATTACTTACTTATACATTCATGGAAAATGCGCTAAAGATCCTCGCCTTAAGGTGAAAACCTTTTTTTCATTTTTTATAAATTTGTGTACTATTAGAGAGTGGCGGCGGAGGAGTCATCAGATGACGAAGTCGGTTCGGAATCGCCACTGGACGAAATAGCTGTCGCGCCCGAATTTGAAACAAGCTCGGTAGGTATAAGCGCCGTTTTCCCGCCATCGTCGTTAAGTCTCAGCGAACATCGACCCAGGCGCGATTCGAGCACTAGATCGGATACGAGGTACATTCTCGTGCTTCGAGTTCCAATTTTTAACGCTTTCTTTCAATAGTGGATCAAGTGCGGGCGATCTAGGTGACGTTACGCCATGCAACGCATCGCCGAACTTATCGAGCCTGGTCAACATTAGGCCAAACGCTCGAAATGACACAGTCGAATTGTGGACGGCTTACGTTCAGAACACAATTACGCAGTCACCTGCTAACACAGTTCAGCTATTTCATCAGTTGCAAAAGCTGATTAAGGTAGTGCCCTACACGCTTATACTGTATTCATTTTAAGAAGGAAGCGGTAGAAAACTAGGGAAGCTTTGACCTTCACTGTGATTGGTTAAAACACGAGTCAGTATTACAATGAAACATAAAACGACTGATGATTTTGTAAGGTGGTAGTTTATGTTGTCAACTAACCTGACGACTTAAGTGTCATTAGCTGTTATTGTCAAAGATTTATTTCTGTTCCCAGTGCTGAATATTTCTACTTTACAATAATTTGGTGTCGTTTTATATTTTTCATGTGTGTGTTTATCTTCAAACACAGCGCCATCTACCACCTTCTTAATGAATGCCGTATACTCACTTACTAACCTGTGAACGATTTTAGAACATCAGCAATTCGACAATTATTGTAACCCGTGAGGCATGCTCTTACCTAACGCAATCTGCAACAACCGGCCTTCCGACAATAAAACTAATTAGTTCAAGACTGAGTTCCCTGATCGACATAATTTCTCATCGCATCCTCCAACCTCATCTGATCTGGTTTAATTCTTCTTCAGTCCACTGTACCAGACTGACTGAAACGCTTCGTTTTGGAATGCTCGAGGTTCAAGAGCATTTAGAAACATTCTGTGATAAGAGGGATCAGGCTACTATGGTAAACCACACTTATACGGCAGAACATTATACTCGTTCCGTTTTAGTATTCTGATGCCATTAAGACCTCACTCAAATTGGAAATGCTAAGCGGTCAGCAGAGTGATGCACGCAATGATGAATATCTGCTAGATCTCGGTCGCGCCCTCTACAAGCTCCACTTCCAATTACTTCTTCTTATCGAAGCCACTAACAAAATGTTAACTACACTAGTGGCCACGTTAAAAAACATGCAGGTACTCGCATCTCAATTGTAAACCAAACTACCCATGGTTCGATTTCAGTTTCGTGACATAACATCGGATGTACTCTCAGTACGAAACGCTCTCACCAGGGCGATTGAGGATCGGGAGGCGGATGGAGGCACGCCAACCCCCGCCCCATCTCCAGCCCCCGCTAATAGCGAAGAATTAGAATCTCTTTTGCAAGAACTTGTCGTGAACGAAAAATGGTCGGCGCTAATTTTATTTGCGAAACACCATCGGGGTCACCTGTCTCTAGACGTCGATTCCGAAAACGATGACGAAATCAGCCTTATACTAAGCATCTACTGCAAGAGATTGATTCAAGAACGACCAGGTAAGCCAGACTTCACACGCAACTGCGTTAACGATAGTTTTACAGATTGTTTCATTATAACGAACCAAGAAACTGACTTGGCGGACATATTCGGCAGACTTTTCCAGGTTTCCGCCGCGGTGTCGGATCTGGAAGGCGTGATAAAAGATCGCGATCAAGTAGAGTGCGCGGTTACGTCTCAAGCGAAGGATTAGTATAATTTTAACGTCTGTACCGCTGTTCTCCATGTATTTCTTAGTGTGTGTGTAACTTTTTAGCTCATGTTTCAGATCACTACATAAGGCGCTAGGTTAAATGTGTGTCAATTTAATAAAGTAATCGAATCTAGGTAAAACACAATACTGAGAGTCCGTGCAGACAACTTAATTCTTGCAATTCGGATTTATGGCTCAGTGGTAGAGCATTGGGTTATAAATCCGGAGGTCGGGTGTTCGAACCTGGGTTGAGGTGAATTTTTCATCTGTGGCGGAGATGGAATTACCTTAGACCAGTTCCGAGCATTCTACCGGCTACTCCGAATTAGGTTTTCCTGCAGTTTTCCTAATTCGTAAGGTAAATATCGGAGTAGTATAGACCAACTTAAGACCTTCTGCAGAGGCACCTCTAAATAGCATTATGCGGGTCACTCTGTAATTGGGCGCATGCCTGTTGAGGGCCCAAAACAAGAGAGGGATAAAATAAAAATAAATATAATAAATAATTGTTTGCAATTAATTGAGTTTGAGGCAAATAACAGTTGTATATTTAAATTGGTACGTGCTTAGCCGCGAAGCTAAGAAAAAATGAAAATAATTGATTCGCTCAGTGGCTTCCCGTCAACTTCCGAAAATTCCAAAGATTTACTACAACAAACTTTGATTCGACACCTGAAGTAAATCTTGGATATGAAAAAGAAAAATCTGACAATGAATACTCTATCCGGGTCGCGCAATGGTTCGAAAAACTACAATCAATTGATTGTACCGAGACTAAAAAAATCTCTAAAGAAAGAGAAGCTTACAAAGCTTGTTTGGACATTAATACCCCGCACGCAGACGATTCATTAATATTTACAAGATGAAAGATTCTCGGCGGCTGCTCTGACGTAGAAAACTTTTTCATCATATTTTGAAACATAAAACATGCAATTTCATTGCAAATACTGTTGCTTCTGAAAGTTAAAAATGGAATTGCTGGGTGAGTCAACAATAACGAGGTAAGTGTTTGGAAGACATATTTAAGAACTCTTCATAGTGGTATACAGAGTTCTACTTCTGAGATGTCTTCATTCACCACATGCAGGTTTCTCTTTCCAGTGGGCAAGCAGATATTGTAGAGCTTAATATGTAGGTACGTTCTAATGAAATATAGGCAAAATAAGGGCATGAGAAGCAATTAGGGCAGCCTCCGTTCCAATAGTTTGTTTTATTCCGTAATGTAGCTTGAAGCGTAGAGTTTGGATTTGGGGTTCCAACGCGAGTTGGAGGTCAACGCAAGGAGATGGCTTAACCTGGTGCCAGCGGTCCAAGTGAATTTGACCTGTGGTGGTTCTATTTTTCGTTCAGTAGTAAGTCATTCTAGCCCTGAACCACTTTTTGACCGCAGTGACGATTTCTCGCATCGTTTTACTGGCTAATTTGGCCGTTTTCCAAAAAAATAGGTACCACTGCAATAGAGCGTAAGCTGTTCCACACTTTTCTATCGCCTCTTTGTGAAATATAGGATGACCGATAGCGTCTTTCATTAGGTATTTATCAGGGAATACACCTTGTTCTATGCAGCATTTGATATGTGCAAAAAATGTTGAAATATAGCTAATTCTTAAGTTCATAAGCTTCACTATGGCTTGAACATACAGGCTAAAGGTCTAAAGTTACCTTTGCAAAAAGCAATAAAATGGCGTGGAATTAAGGCGAGAGCGCAAAAAAAGATTTGGTTCTGAAGATTTTACCAAATAAGATCGTTGCAAAGACGGTCGGTCGAACTTGAATTTTAGTGCAGAAGAGATTTTTTAGTCGGGATGAAAGGGAAAAATAAATGTTCATAATTCATTATATTGGAAAATATGAGCTTTACATGTAACAAATTCTTCAGACAGAAGTACAACAAAATATGTGGAAATCTGTGAATCGCAACTCGTATAACCCACACAGATTCTAAACAGAAAAGTTTTTATTAGCAGAATCTCGCCCCCGAGATAGATAATTCTCCCCTCGTTTGGAGTTTTGAGTCCATAGTAGTCGTGTTTTAATAGTACAACAATAAATTTATGGGGAAGGCTTTGAGATCCGATTTTCCTAATCTTTGAAAAATTACGTTACCTATTTTGATAGCAAAGACTACCCGCATTTACCAACACAGTCTACGCCTATGGAAAATTATGTCAATCTGCATTTTAGCAGCCCACACGTGTTCCTACATATGTTTTTATTATTTAACGAAATCTGAAAATGCGAGCATAATTTCTCATAGTTCAAGGATATCGTACAGTAGGCAACCGAGCACGTTGCAAATAAAAAAATCGTAGGTGATTTCAGTCAAAACTGCGCATTTAATTACAACCAGATTCGTGCATCCTGTAACATATGGAAAGCGAAAACGTGAAGGAACGACTAAATTCCCTGCTACAGAAGAAGTTATCCGAAAATGAACGCAAATCTATCGAGGCGGAAAATTTGTCTACGTCAAAGGAAGTCCAAGAGGATCCCGTCAATAAAAAATTGAAAAAGCAGGAACGCGACGAGAAAAACCTGGAAGTTGAAGATCCGTCATTCGCATCAGCTGATTTGTTTTCGCAGCACTTACTACACGATATTCTAATTGAGAAAAAAAGAGCGTTATTAAGAAATAAGGAGGTTGTCGAATTTATACGTAGCAAAATTAAAGATGTAAATTAAATAAATTAGCGTCCTTAATTTTTATCTCGTGTTATCAGTAGAAATCGTCCAATGTAACCACAGCTGCCTGAAGTGAGTGATAAAGAAGGCGAATATTTATCGTTTTTTTTTGCACAAAACTGGCATTGGCATTTTTTAGCGGCCGTTCGTAGCGAAAATGTCAGTGTAGCACGCCACTGTTTCTTCCCCCACCAGCGTCTGTTTTCTGAAAGAAGTGAAAGATGGAAAAAATATCAAGATAATGTGAACTCTAGCAGCTTTTGTTTTGGAAATACGTACGTAAAGTGGTTTTTATGAACATTTTCACGTCATTTTCGCGCTTTTTGATCCGAAAGTAGTTGCGTAGATGTCTCCAGATCGTAGTAAAAAGCGTTTTATTGAGCGGCTCTGTGATAATTTTACGGTTTTTGAACACAACTTTACATTGTCTTAATTCAGCAGGTTTACTTTTGTAACACTTTAGCGCTATGTACCTTTGATTAGATTGTAATGCCTTTGCAACTGATGTTCTTGCAGAAAACAAAATGGATCATTCTATGTATGTGTTTGCATCAAATGGAGTACCTCAAGAATCGAAATTGGCCACGTACATGGTAGGTCTAACACCAGTCGATCATTCTCCACCACTAAACAGTTTCCCATTTCCAGAACCGTCAAAACACGAGTACTCCGGTGGCAACGAATACCATCACACAATCATTCGCGAAAGTCACCCTCGGCTCGCCGGTCAATTCTAAAAAAGTCACACCTCAATCGCCCGAATTCGTTCCATCCGCACGTATCAATACAACCAACTCATCAGGTAAAACCGCCAAGTGTTATTGGCCGGTATCTAAACGGGCGACTTTTAGCGTCCCCCAACTTCTTCAATTCATTCCCTGGACTGTCGGGCACGACGACCGGACCCGGCTATCAGCGTACCGTCGCGGAATCGCCACACAGTGGCACGATTTCGCCCCATTTAACACCTCAACCGTCACCGCCGCTCACTGCCAATAACTGCTCGCCGATACCTCATGTTCCCATTGAGAAGCCGGCGGTTACGGTCGCCGCCTATCAGGTTTGTATTTTGTCAGGGAACTTTAGGTTAGTTGGGAATGTGTTTTTCAAAACATTGTTACGTAATTGTTGTTATCGTATCCGAGAAAATAGCATTAAACGGTTTCAAGGTGATTGATTATCTTTCGTGTAAACAATCTTATCTAAATTGAGAAGATTGAGGCAAGCGTCCAGTGATTAAAAAAAATTATTTCTGATTAATTTGAAGATAAAAAAAGGGGGATTTGCGTATTTCAGTTCTAAAGGTGCTTGTATACAGGGTGTTTTTTTTAATTAATCCCATGTTTAATATCACTCAATTTTTGATATAGAGGGTGTTCCCAAATATGATGTACGTACGTAAGGGGATAATTCTTTGGCTTATTTTATAGCAAAAGGTTCATATAAACATCGGTCCACAAACGTTTTATTACTGATACAAGGTGTTAAAGTCTCAAGATTTTTTTATTTAGGTATATTTCCGGCAGTGTTTGAGATATTTTCGAGGATTTTTTGCTCAAATTTGAGATGTAAGTTGTGTTGAAGGGTTTACATGATTGGCCGTATCAATGATGGTAGTGAGAATATCTACAGGGTGTTGTTTTTTCAGGACTCATGTTCCATTTTGTATCCCTGAACTTTTTTTTGGGTTTTTGGTCTCTTGTAATCTTTTCATATTTGCCACCGTTATTGAGAAAAAAAATCATTTTTCGTATTTAGGTAAATTAATGTAAAATTTTTAAAATCTGTCAGTTAAACCTAGCTCTTTGTTTTTATTAGTTTTGACAGTTCGCATTTGAAATGGTATCTTGTGTTTGATTGTTCGAGTGTTTATTTAATTGTAAAGTGTAGGGTGAAGTTATAATACCATGTAGATCGGTAATTGACGACACTCAAACCCTACATCAATTAAAACTTGTAGTTCCTAGAAAAAACATTAGACAGCAAAGAACTTTTGAAATTGGTATACCTCGAACATCACATTACCAAAATTCGCCGCTGTATCGAATGTGCAATTATTACAATAAACTTGGTATTGATATATTTTGCAATAACGTTGCACAAATTAGGGAAAATATATTGTCTCTATTATGACCAGTGTAGGTAGTAAAAAAAAAAAAAAAAACTACTACAAAGTATATTATTTAACCTTGAAAATACAGGGTGATTCCTATAGTACCTGCCACCGTTTGGGAGCGTGTAGGTGGTGCGTAGGGGAGTATTTTGATATAGGACACTTGGGGTCGGAAATCTAAAATAAGGGTGCCAGAGCCAAATTTACCTTCTGGAATTTCGCGCCTGTAGGTAGGCAACCCAACCGGCCGGCGGTGCACACGGAGCGATCTCAGGCGGCGATGTGTGGCTGACACTTGATCAGAATTTTCTTTAAACCCACGAAATCCCGTCTGCAACGACGCGTATCAAGTGAATAAACACTATGGCACGTTTTTTAAATTCTCTTTTCAACGAGCCATCATAACATAAGATTGAAAATAAGTCAATCCTTCGATTTAGTGATGGTATCGTCCAAATGTTTAGCGCCAACTAGAAGGATAGCATCATCAGCATATAATATTGTAACGTGATTTATAAATTCGGGTTCGATTTATATCAATATTTATTAAACAAAACTAAAACACTATAAAAACTGTACAATTTTATATCGACTATTTATATCACACTTCGTAATTTATATCAGATTTTCGCGCTCAATGTTTCGTCCGTACTTGATCTCGTTCGGTAGTAAAAACTGCCTCGATTTTCGGTCCGCAACCATTTATACATGCAAGCAATGTAAGTCCAGAACATTCGCGTAATTACCAGATACGTTGCAAACATCGCGCGCCTAGAAAATTCCAGGGCGCCAAAGGCGACGTCATGTCTGGAGCGTTTCCGTTACAATATGCAACGTTCGGTTTGGGAGATATAAGTAGGCATGTCGTTGATATATATCAAAAAAAGGGGTGGACCAAGAATGCTGCCTTGTGGCACGCCTTTTACTAAACTAGCTTGGCTCGAATAAATATTGTTCCTTCTAACGCATTGACATCTGTTAGTGAGATATGATTGTATAAGCCTTAGACTGACTTTGTCAAAGTTATACATTTGTAGTTTGTCAAGTAATATGCTATGACATACGCTGTCAAAAGCACGTGACAAATCAATGAAAACGGCACGTACATAAGACATAAGCGAGTCGCCGCATTATTTCTTTTATTTGGCGAAATACGAAAAATTGTTTAAATCTATCTGATCGCATATTCAAACTGCCGGTTTCACTTCCGGTTTAATTTTTGTTTTTCAAATGCAACGCTTATGTTTTTTTACGATATTTGTAAAGAGTATCGGAGATGTTTGCCACAGTTTTTCTAAGCATGGTTAGCGCTCTTCATTTTTCTCACTTCTGTACCGTATGGGACCTTTTTTTTTTATTCTTGCGTATACGCTCGAATCACAATCAGCAATAATTCGCATGCATCTCTTCGCTCTTAGTGAACAGCCATATTTCCCTTCATGTCCTAATTTGTGTAGTACAAGTGATCTCCAGGCGCGATGTTTTTATTCCTTACTCTGGCGCAAATGCTGCAAAACTTGTGAATTTCTATTTAAAATACATAAATGAATAGCTTCGCTTTCGATTTATTACATGACATAAAGTCACTAGATATAGAAAGTACCGCAATCATCCGCCATTTCTGGGCAAATTTGCTGTCAACTTAAAAAAATTGACAAATAAAATCTGAATAGCTATCATTTTTTATAACCTAACTTCATAGTACTGTCATGATTTATAAAAATATATACAGATATCTCCAAACAAGTGGAACAATCCCTAACATTAAAGTTACTAGAATCTGGTAACTTCCGCCATTTTTGGGCAAAAATCATACGTTCTCTCTCTAACAGACGAGCCCAATGGAGTGCGGTACTTTCTATATATAGTGACTTTAACATGACAAAAGGTAGTGCGCCATCTTGTGAGCTTATTTTTGGACAATTAATTATAATAAATAATGTAAGAGCCACACTAGCGCTGTGAATGCGTTGGACGGCAGGAGTACCCACCTTAAATTGCAAAAAAACGACATTTTTTAAGTAAGGCGAGTATTGCGACGAAAGTACTTTTATAAAAAACGTCCAAAAGTGCAGTCGCTCGTTCTGCCAGGGCTGGCACTGGAGTCTACGTTTGCTAACAGCCTTGATCTTGCATGGATGCTTTTATTTTATAGTCAATCTTAAGGTGGTAGCGTTTAGTAATTACGCAAATCAAGTATGTCCCCCTAGGTGGCCATGTGTTTACTGAAAACAGCATGATGGTATCAGATTCTGTTTTCCAGATATTATGGGTGGATAGTTTTAGAGGCTCCACCCTATAAACACTCAAATCCAAGCCAATAACTTTTTTGACAGGCAACAATGAACTTTAATTAAGTTTTTACAATACCCTAGCAACCCCCCTCTTTTCAACTGCTTTATATTTCACTCGCGCCTTTTTCAAGCTTTCTTCACACGTCCTTCCATCTTCATGTCTTCAGCTTATTGAATCTTTTAGGCAGTTTTAAAGTTGGCACTCTTCTTTAGAGTCTTTTTTCTTCAAGTTTCCTTCAGCACTCCTTCAAGACTACGCCTCATTTCATGTACTATAATAATTCAAGTATTTTATAAGGAGTACCTACTTATTGATACTTTGATATACTGTTTATTGTAGCTTGTAAATGGGAGATCTTGCAATAAACCTGAGCAGACTAAGTGCCATAAGTTTTAAGTTTTGTTTTTATATTGCATGCAACAACTCATCTCTTAATCTTTTCAGGAAAATGTGGGCGGCACAACATATTTTTATCCAACATCAGCCGAAAATTCCGTAACCACAAATGATACACTAAGTTCAGTCAATAGTTCCGTCGGTTCGAGTTATCAAGTCTATCCCGGTACGCCAAGCCATGTGACCGCCCTCAAATCGAAAACTGGTAGTTCCTCCTTTTTTATTGCCGAAGATACTCGCATGGATATCTTAAATCGTAATGCCCTCACCCTTTTACAGCCGGATCCCGGGCAATTTCCAGGTACGTCGGTTACCGAGTGGGGGGGTTTTTGATTAACCGGGCATTGTAGATCTTCCACAAGACGTCGATAATTATCACGAACTCTGCCCGTTAGAACCGATACCGACCAATTCCCTTCAAAAGGCGCTTATAGGGTACCAAGCTTCGATGTACAAGGCAACTCACATAAAGACTGGCACAAGGCATTGCTTACGAAGGATACACGGTACAAGTTTGCGACAATGTGATCGAAAATTGAACGCAAACGTGTTCATTTCTCGATTACATTTTAGTTTATACACCGTATGCAAGGTGATTGGTTGTTTGATTTTAGTACTCAACCAAGGATGCCAAGTGTGGTATCGTTTTTCAATCAATTGTCCATTTAGTGCTTATTTCTTTCATGGGATGAAAACTTTACTACTGTAGTTTACTTGTTTACCTCGTTCCTAATGGTTTTCATGCTGCTAAAGAAATAACACTAAATGCGCACACTCTGTAGCTTTAGTTAAAAAAAACGTGTAGGTTTTCGACTCCAAAATACCAAGTGCATGACGTACGTTGATATGTGGAAGAAACTGATCCATTCCAATATTGTTCAGCTGAAAGAAGTTTTTACGACAAAGGCGTTTGGGGACAACTGTAAGTAGACCTATGACCATTAACTTAAGCACACTATCATTTTTTATTGGGGGGGGGGTTGAGCATCTCTGATGATGAAGCACATTATTTCAGCAATGGTGTTTGTCTACGATTTTCATCCCGGTTCGGAAACCTTACTTACAAAACATTTTGCATCGGACTCCATGAATGGTTACGTTGACCCCTTCGCCACCGATCCATCCGCACCTAGGCCGTACAGTCACCATAAGAACTCCATATTGCGCCATCAACAAAATAACAAGTTACCCGAAGCACTCATTTGGAATTACATCATTCAACTTACGTCCGCTTTAAGAATTATCCACGTTGCCGGTAATCGCGTCGCTCGTGCAAACGCCGCAATTAACTCTCTCAATTTAGGTTTAGCGTGTAGAAGTTTGGATCCTACGAAAATCATAATCACAGTCGGCAATAGATTAAGACTTAGTTGCCTCGGTGTTATGGATGTAATTATAAATGATACCAGTACAGCTTCCAATCCGGTAGGTTTAATTCAACATTATCAACAAGAGGACCTTACCTCACTTGGTAAACTAGTGCTGGCATTGGCTTGTAAGTCCACGATGGCTGTGCAACGAGAGAACATATCTACCGCTGTCGAAGTGGTTACTCGCACCTACACTACGGATTTGCGAAACTTAATTATGTAAGTTTCTTGGGTGTGTGGTTTTGGGATGTTTTGATAATTTGGGGATGTATGTCCATAAAAAAAAAAAATTTAATATTTAATATTGCATAACATATTACACTACCTTTCTACACAGAACCAACAGTTTTATTTGTGAAGTGATTTTCTTGAAATTGTAACGGTAGGTATAATTGGAGCAAATACAAGGTGATGAAAAAAAGTGACACCATATAGAAACCCAGACATAAAAAAAATGCTGAGAAAATTTATCTATGCTTAAATTTTTAAAGGTTGAGGGTAAATGTGGCAACCATGTTGAACAAAATTGCATTTTTAATTGTACAGAAATAGAGTAGCACAGGGGATTTTGGGAGGAAATTGACAAGAAATATTTTAGCAAAATAAGTTGATGAAAAACGACAAAATTTATTCAGGTTATCTTAAGCTCGCGGGATATTCTGCATGCTGATTGTCTGAATAAATATTAAATTACGCAACACATTTTGGCACATTCTTAATCATAGTAGAATTTTGACGTTTGCAAATAATCGCTGAAATATGGACAGTAACTATACATACATACATAATCCTTCCTCTTCTACCTTACGGTGTCTAGGTAGACAGTAACCATATCAATTCTAATTATTTTGGTATATCAAGGAAATAATCTAAAATAAAGCACTTTCCAGTGCTAGTCACTCGAATGTACTTTTTTTTTTATTTTGCCCTTTCTTGATTTTCCTTAATTCTTTTTGCGTGCGCATTACTACTACCACTACCTGTAAAAAATTGATTTTGCTTTGATCGTTACTTTAATTCGCCATTTTGTTACTAGGCATTTTTGTCTACCCGTTTAAGGGATTTATTTGGCCGTCTTGGACGTCTACGAAGTTTTTCTTGTGTTTACTACTATTGGTTCATTGAAACGCTGCTGCTCAAGCCTCTTTATAGGGTTTTTGCCTTCTCTCCTAATTTTCTCTTCTGGTTTACTTTTCCTTCGTTATTATATACCTGAGTATTTTAACTTACATCGACGGCTTTAATATTACCTATAATTTGAATGACATCGCATTTTTCATGGACCCGCCATTGACATTTAGTTATTTGCTTCTGAATTGCAAATTCAGTTATTTAAAGTTACGAATATTTTGTCATTACCCATTTGTAAATGACAGCTCGTTGAGTGAAAATTTTGCTTTTGTTTAGTTAAACGTAAATTGAATTATTGGTTTTTATAGTGTTAATTACAGTTTGCAGTATTCAAGTACCTGAGTATAAAACGTTAGACATTGCTATCGCAATATTTATGTGCCGCGCTATTCACTCTCCCTCTTGTTTTTTGTTTGTGTTTTTACCCGTTACAGATAAGGCAATAAAGCGCCCTTCTGAGCTCAGAAAGATTGCGACCTGTAGTTCACAGATAATATTTTAATTTTCGTCTTCTCCTGAAAATAACATTTGAGCACATTGGCTTTCGACAGAGCTAAGTTGTAATTAAAATTTTTATTTGAATAATCATGTGTTGCTTTTATTGATAAAGAAGTTTATTATGACATTTATCACTAATTTCCCTTACTACGAGTTGATTTTTTGTTAAATCTATTGAGGTTAATTTAGTAATCGAGTAACATCCATATATTTAACATTTATCTTTTTATTAAGTTACCTTTGATTGTGACCCCAATTATTGTTTACGTTCTACCCTTTCCATTATTTTATTCCTTTAGCTTATCAAGAGCAGAACAAGGATCTATTATTAGCCTGCTTTGATTCTCCCTTTTGGTAAGTTTTCTCTCTTCTCTTTTTGATTGAATTTACTATAAGACTAAGTGGTACCTATCCGGTTTACTATATTTCCTTTTGCTTTGTTTTGACTGTAGTAGGAGAACCCCATTATTTATCCCGACATTAAAATATTTTTTTTTGTTTATCTATTTTGGTCCGTATTTGAAAATAAGTGTATGGGCTATTTTCATCTCGGCTGCCCACCAGAATGGAAGCAAAATTATGTCAGGTTTATTATGAAAAAATATAATAGTACATACCTACTGCTATGTGCCCCCCGTTGGGCGCCAAATATAAACTGCTATGTGCCCCACGTTGAGCGCCAAATAAAAAATTCCATCATGTGCAACGGCAAATGGTCACTAAGCCACTCACAAAACATCTGTCCAGCTAGCTGAAATCAAAGCAACGTTTAAATTTAGAATTGTAGTTGTTTTCCTTGTAGACGTTCAGCTCCTGTCACAATGTAAAATCTCAATGTTGACTTTAAATCAATAATTTGGGAGGCTCAGTAGCCTCATTCCAAGTTCCGGAAATTCTAAAGGCTTATCTACACAAATTTTCGTTAACACCTGACATAATTGTCATATTGAATAATTTAAAAATCGGGCATGAAAACTCTTAACTGGGTCGCACTTTGGATTCGATTAAACACAATTTAAATGACAAAGCCAAAAATTTCTTCTTCAAAACATGAAAACAATGCTGGAAGAAAGAAAATCATTCAGAGCTTGTTTTTTGTTTTTATACATACCACGCACGCATGCGTTCGACAGACAATTCAATAAAAAAATCTCAATTACTGACAGTTATTAAATTATCCAATCAATCTGATCGTAGCAGCATGCGAAATTCTACTGTGGTATCCTACTTGTTTTTCCCTTCCATTTGCCATTTTCGTGGTTCCTCAGACTCGTTATTCATGCTTACTTTAAGCTATCTATACGCTTCCATTAAATGTCTTTCACTTCCTTCGCGCGTCTTTCATTTTTTCGCAATTAGGAACTCTCACGCTGCTTGCTTTAATCCTCTTTCACAAAACCAGAAATAAAAACCAGTTCTGCGATTATTCGGATTCTTTGGATCATTTATATTCTTCAGAGTTCAGATGCTTTTATTTCTTTGGATTTTTCCGATTTTTTGGAAAGACTCCACGGAGTTTTTTTTTGGATTCTTCCATTTTTTCATATGCTTCTGATTGTTCAACTCATCAATTTTATTAGACTCTGAGATTCTTCAAATTCAAATTTTTCTTTAGGTTCCTCGTCCCCTTATTTTGTTACTTGGGATTATGCTTGTTCTTTGGATCCCAGCACTCCTCGAGTTCTCATAGAGAATGTCAAAAAAATGCTGTGGGAGCTATTGAAAAGCTGAGGAGGGAAATCAATTGATTCCTCATGAGAGCTTTTAAATACACTATAGTTTCAAATGTTCGTCTTGATAATTCTTGAAATTCATTGAAGACTCAAGATTCTAAAAGATTTGTACAGTTTATACGGTAACGCCACATTTTTATGATCAACTAGCAGACATGCAGTGGTCGAGGCAACACTGCCGCTAACTGCGATTTGAAAACATGATCAGCTGACAGAAAGACACGGGTTATAAAAGGGCGTGCATCGCCTTTTAAAGACATATCCGCTTAGTTAAGAGCATTCCTTGGGGTTACTATAAATTACATGTTGATGAAGCAATAGTACATGCGTTAAATTGTATACAAAAGGATTCGAGTTGCAGAATAATAAATCGTTACTTGATTTTAATCCGTGCGATTAGTTAACCAGGCTAGACCTGAGTTCTCACAAGAAACACCGACCATAATAATAATTTATTGTGAAAAACAAAGAAAATTTTCACAAATGGAACAGATCTTCCACTCTTCCAGTAAAACTGTGACATAATATGCTTAAATCAAAACAAAATTCTTTGACATGAGACGCATAACATGATCAAATTAAACATAAATATATATGCTTGAAAAAGACTAAAAAATAATGAAAAAAAAAAGAACAAAGCAAAAAAAGAATTGCACAAAAATAATGAAAAAAAAAGAACAAAGCAAAAAAGAATTGCACATTTCGTACCTATTTAAACATTATTGACAACAAGATGGTATTCTAAAAACTCTATTTGATTTTACTTCAAAAATGTTCAAAACACATGTCAAATATTATTTTTAGCGCATTTTTGAAAAAAATACGCTATTATATTCGTTATGGCTGGCAGACCGGCTGTCCGCGTGAGATCTCCACAACTACAATAGCTAGAGAATTCAAATTTTCACTAAAAGCTTTCTGCTTTAGTGTAGATGTGCAGGCACTAGTCTATTTTCAGTTAGATTACTTGTGAGATCGATAACTGAAGAAAATAATTTCGATATGGGTTTCGGAGGTGCTATAATTTTACCGTTAGATAGCGCTACCAGTATAAAAACTTATTATTTACTTTGTGATTTGAAATTAAATAAAGTTAATTATTTAACGTAGCCAAAATTACTCGTGAGATCGATAATTTTAAACTTCGCTATTAAAATACTGACCTGCATTACCAAAAATGCGCTTTAATCATGCATATGCTGATTTACAACTTGTTTTGAAATTATCCAAAGATAAATGTCGGTATTCTTGAATTTGATTTAAGGTTGAAACCGCAATGTATGTGAAACTGCCTCGAAAAAAAAGAAGAATGTGTGAGACACATCTCTAACAAATTTGCATTCGAGTTGACGTTTAAAGAATAAAATAGAAAAGTAAAATTGTCCGGAACCCAAACGTATTTTTATAGACGAAGTGAAAACCTTGATAAAGAAATTGTTATAAGTTCATTTTTCTTATTAAAAGTTATTACATGAAGAACTCATTTTAGGTACCTTTTATCCCCGCAACAGCGAAGAAGTGTAACAGATCTAATGCCTATGATCGGTGCTCGATTTTACACTCAATTGGACAGTGTACAAACACGCACAGATGTATTGGAGAACGAAGTTTCGAAAGAAATGGAAAACGGACGGCTATTTAGGCTCCTAGTGAAATTGGGGAGTATCAACGAACGTCCCGAGTATGTGCATATGTCACTGAAATTGGGAAAGCACTTACTATTACCAGTCAATGAGGAATAGTAAATTGTTTCCCAGTCAGACGTCTCAAATTGTTGCGTGATACCTTGATTTGTAGATTTAATATGGATGGTACATGGTCGGAAACAGGCGATCGATACATGTTGAAACTGTTTCGAGATTATGTGTTTCATCAGGTTACTGAAGATGGTCGGCCTTGGCTGGATATGGCTCATGTTGTCCAGTGTCTTAATAAGTTAGATACAGGTGTTCCGGAGAAGGTTTGTATTTTGTCAACTAGTCTGCCAGGGTCATTGATTATAAAATGATTCACCTTATCTGTTTGCTCCGTAAAGATCAACTAACCACATGTTAAGCGCAAATACAGAAGACGTGTTTGTTTATAATCAATAGCTCACTATAAATTTGAAAAGGTGGATAATAAAGCTATGGTATTTAGGTGTGCCTAATGTCGAGAGATGAGCAAAGTATTTTGGTTGTGAGTTACGCAGAACTTAAGCATTGTCTGGAGCAGTCATACGATGAAGTCTTAAACGCTTCAGCGCCGACTGACAATGTCACATAAAAAGAAGTAATAATAGTTAATAGCGGCATCACATGAGGAAATGATTGGGATGTCACCTTATTTTAGAGAGTCATATATATATATTTTTTTTGCCAAACTCCAGTACAAATTTGCAATGCTGTGTAAACATTTATTGCCTAATGATAAATGTTGACTGTTACTTGCATAAATTTAATGGTTAAGAAACATTTTTTACCGAGTAATTAATTGTAAAAGACAACTTAAGGAAGTATTTGTGATAACATTTTTTGATGTAAGAAAGTTTATTTGAATAAAGTCATTCTTTACCAAATGCGCTTTATTTAAATCCCAATCATTTCCTTTATCCATTTCGTGTGAGTTAGAACTGTTTTAGCTCTCGTTTAAGCTTTTAATTTTTATTTCATAATTCAACGAATTTTCATTTTAAATCGTTTAATTTGTGTGAGAGCTGAAGCGCACTTAAGGAAACTTTGTGATTACGAGACTACGGGATCTTTATAATTATGTGATAGGTGGCAATTTATAGGCACTTAGTCATTGGAAAGACATATTTTTGTATGAAAGGCATAACGAGACTAAGTAAGTGCATACAAATTGAGCTTTAACGTAATTCTTTCATAACTCATTTCCGATATTTTTTTCGGAATTTGTTTTCATTTTTGTGAATTTATAAGACCGGGATTCTTTTTGTATACAATGAAAGTTTTTTTGTCTATATTATAAATGGCATAGATTATTTTTAATAAAGAAGTTTATAAATAATTTTCTTTCCATTTCAAATTGTCCTAGAGGTTAATGTGACACGTGAGCGGAATTTTTAAAATAGTTTGGAACAAAACAGTGTTTGCTCAGCATGTGTTTTGTAATGACAGTTAATGACATAAATGGACTTCACTTATCCATGGTACGGCAAAAGTTAAAAAGTAATTCCTTGGTCTATTCTAAGCATGTTTTATCCTTTGATGATTTTTGATTTTGATTTTTTCAAAAACACCAGTAATTTCTTATTGGGTGACACCCTCCTTGGCCTCTTTTTTTCAATGTTCCAGTTTCTCTAAGACGTTGATGAATATTTTGAAAGATTTTTCTATCTGGAATAATATGGTACGTACAGTCGCCTAGCTTGTAATGAATTGTCATCAGCAAATGAAATGCAATATCGGTATTTTATGCAAAATGTACCTAAACAATAGCAAATTGTGATATGAAATCAATGGTACACATAACAAAAGATGTTTACTACCTGTAAATACACTTTTCAAACTAAATTAACGCTAGATCCACCATTACACCCCCAGATAACGGTCACTATTTCTGTAATATACCAGGAATATTCAAAATATTAAACATACCTAGAATATATGTGCCTTGTAAGATATACAGTACTAGGGATATGCGAATGGGAATATCCCAGATATTCTGAGAATAATGTAAAATGTATTCTGAATATTCTTTGCATGCTAGATACATATACTATATGGGATATTCTCGACATAAACCAGTTAGCTAAAAGAGAAATTTGTGTATTGTAATTAAGGCTTGAAAATGACATAATTGTGACAAAACGAATACTTCCTGTACATTCGGGAAATTTTGTAACGGAATATTCAATACCGAATAACAAGGAATATATTATTGTTGTGTTCTCAGTATATTCATTGCTCAATATTCTTAGAGTATGCGAGACTATAGGATGTTTGGAATATTCACATACTTTCTAGCATGGTAAAAGATTTTCTAAGAAAATGCAATGTTATCTGGGCCAAACTGCTCAGGTTTACATACTGTTAACCGAAGTCGAAGACTTCCTGGCTGTTATATACATACACAGCGTTACATATTTACACAAGATATACACAGCAAAGCAGATTGCTAGCCTTATGCATTTTATGGAATATACTTAAAAGGGCTCTCTCATGAGCAGCAGTATAAATCTGCTTTCGCATTAGATTTTTAGTCCTGCGACTATCGCGCTGCTGAATCGCAGATATACTTTATTACATTTTGTATGCCTTTCTTTATTGAATTTAATTTTGAACTTATGTCGCGTGCACTCGCACAATAAAATGACGCTTACGGATTTATGAATTATATGTGGCTGCAAAAAATTTAAAGCGTTAAAGTTTGCACAATTCGATTTCCATATGGCAGTGGTATGAAATTATGATAGAGGTAAGCTGAGCCACCACGAACCTATCTACTCATTCAATTTATATGCTTACTATCACGGCATGAACAAAAAGTAAAACAACGCAAGCTTCATTTTTAGCGCATTTTCTAACGCGATGTCGATTTCCTTATTTATAGAGATATTTTTTGACATTTTAACCGCAGATGCTTCTATAGTAAACGCAAATATCACATTATCGTAAAAATCAGATGTGCGCATGCGCAGTATTGCACAATGCCAATTTTTTATTGATGGAGACATTTTCTTTGAAGCCATAGTCTATAGAGGCTTCTATATATAAAGAAAAACAGCGCACATGGGTAGGTATGGCTTTTTGGGAAGTACCTACTGATCTATGAATGGAAAATGCGGTAAAGTTACTTGCTTTACCTGGTTTAAAATGTATGCTTTTATAATAAATGAATGAAAAACTGCGTGTTTACGAGCTGGGAATTTTGAAAACTGCGAGTGACTTGAATTCATATGGAAAAATGTGCGAAAATGACAATTCAATTTTGAAGATATACCTATGTCGGCTATATCCAATGAAACGTTTTCAATCCATTTTCAATTTTATGTGTATACCTAGTGCCTTTGCTCAGACTAGATCTAAAACCCTTTATAGAGTCTTTAAAATCTTCATAATTTTCATAGAAATCGCTTCAGAATCTGCTACGAATGTTATCAGGCTTAAGATATTTTTAGAATCCGCAAAAAGTCATGGTGAACTCCGTCTAATTATCTCTACATAAACTTTGGAACCAGTCATCACTCTCCTTAGTCTTTAATTTAATTCTTATCATCTAATAGGTACTCTTCTTAAAATAGGAACTTTCTTAATTAGGCCAAAAAAATTTAAATCGCAATTTTAAACCATAAAATC